TCGTGGATGGCGAATGCGCGTATCTATTCACGGGGCGGCCGGAGGTCGACGTGTTCAACCTCCGCGCCCAGAAGTGGTCCGTCCTCCGCACGACGTTCGACGGGAAATGGCCGTACCCCGACAACGACATCACCGACTATGCTATGCAAAGCGTGAGCGGCACGCTCTACGCCTTCGGCGGCTCGCACAAACTTTCTCCGGTCGGGTGCGACCTGCTCATGGCGCTCGACCTCGCGGCGCGGCGGTGGACGCGGCTGAGCGGCACTGCACAGGCCAAGACCGCGACCTATTCCGGCCCAGGCCCACGCCGCCTCGCGTCGAGCTGGGTCGGGAAGGACCGCAATACACTGTTCGTCTTGTACGGTATGGCCGACCGCGGTGCGGCAGGGATAGCGAAACAGATGCACGGCGCCGTCAACTCGTACGCGCAGGACGATCTGTGGGGCTGGGACATCCGCGCGCGCGCCTGGGAACGGAAGCGGCTCCTCGGGAATATTCCTTCCCCGCGCTCTGAGATGGCGTGCACCTATGTGAGTGCGACATTGGCAAGATCTTCGTTCGTGATTGATGAATGAGTGCACGGTAGAACGCGGCACTCGACAAGGTCATCGTGTTCGGCGGGTATTGCCCGACCTCCCCCAGCCAATTCGTCAAGCACTCCGTGTTCATGTTCTCGTACTACGGCGATACCTTCATGCTCGGCACCGACCCCGGATCAGCACACACTGTTCCCGCCGCTTGGAAGCACGTACTGACGCGCGGCTTCCCGACGTACCGCGCGCAGACGCACCTGGTCTCCGACCCCTCGACGGGGCGCACCTTCCTCTTCGGCGGATACGTCAATTCGGAGTACGTGCCGTCGCGCAGCGAAGAGGCGTCCCGCAGCTTCGGCGACCTGTGGGAGCTGCGCATCAACGTCCCCGGCGGGCACTTTGAGACGGTCGACGTGGAGGACGAGGCGCGCACGGCGCGGCTGGGGCCGTGGCAGCGGTGCTTCACGTGCGGCTCGGCGGGGCCGTGGAAGAAATGCGGCGGTGCGTTACATTACGCATTTTGAACCATTTATTTGACCTTCTGATGCGTTTGTGCAGGTGCCTGCAATGGCCAGGCATTCTTTTGCGACGCGCGCTGCTTGCGGGATGGTTGGAGGGAGCATAAGCTCAAGCACAAGTGTCGCAAGTGACCGCGTATTCTGTGGTTACTGTAACTTCGAAAATGTTATACACTGTTCGCCGTTAAACAGTTCACGTATAGACAGTTGAAGACAGCTCGTGTCAACCCTTCAGTTCTGTACTAGAGTAAGTAGTCTCGTTACTTTTTTCGTCGCCATGGCCGGCGAGGACAGGACTTCGGCTGTGGTACTGTGATTCAGGTGCAGTTGAGTATCTCATAAGGCCGAGTCCCATCATGCAATTGCTATGAGCTCATTTTCATCAATTAATCTGGTTTCAAGGGATTCAGGGCTGTGACCGCGACATCGGAGTGCCGTCAAAGATCCGGAAGAAGCCGAGACACACTTGTTTCCTCTTATTTCACTTTTCGGAATTTGGTCGGGTGCTCTAAAGATGTGTCTAGACGGGTCGAAAAAAATACGACATTTTTCTACCCGGGTGGAGGTTGGGGAAGTCCTGGAAGGTTCGAACACGAGTTTCTCCGTCACCAAACAGCCCAAATCACCGCCTGATAGGTGTCGGATTAAGGCTAAAATGTGGCTTTTGTGACCTTTTCCCTGGGGAAAACAACTCGATTTGGTGCTTACAGAACTCGGCTAATAGACCCTGTGTAGCAAATTTTAGTAGTGAGTATACCTTGAGTGCCGTGCTGAAACTCCAAGTCGGGCGTCTGAATGACAGCGAGGGCGGACTCGTAATTCCAACAGATCTGGTGGCGGTGGCGATCGTGCGGTCCTACCGCGGGTCTCAAGTTTTCAGCGGTGCGTCCGAGTCCTTATCCATGCCTCTTCCTTCTACACTTTCATGTCCTCAAAACATTACCATCTCCTCGCTATCATAAAGTACTCCACACAGCTCCCCCACGCCGGATCGCTGTTGACCCCGCCCCCTTTCCAGCGATGTGACGCTCGGTGTCTCCATTCCGGGCGTAGCGCTCTCCGTCCTCCTCCTCGCAGCGGTCGCGTACTTGGCCTGGAACCCCATCTCTCGGCCCCATCTGAACCGCGTCAGCTTCCGCCTGATGGTGTACGCCATAATCTCCAAGTATGCAGCCTGTGCAGCCTTCCCATTTACTTCCGCTCCCGCTCATTAATTCACAGTGTAATATATGGCACCCTGATGACCATCAACATGACGGGGTCAAGTCCCGCCTGCAGCCTCGTCGCCTTCCTCAGTGTCGTACGTGTGCCCACCACAAGCTCCTTGATTATATTGAAAGCCTACCCCAGACTTGCCCCGTGTTCTCTGCCTGCATGTTTTGCTGCATCGCGCTGAATCTCCAGTGCGACCCCGCATCCCTTTAGCGTTCATAGGCTGAATTGAATACTGCGCATCAGGCTGGTCCTCGTGTACGGCGTCAATGGGAACAAAATGGAGAAGTACTACATCGCCGGATCGGCACTCCTGTGCGCAGTCTGCAACGTCCCCACATGGATCGCGGGGGAGCTCGGGTAAACCAGGCTCATCCCCCCTTGGCTCCCACATTTAATCGTTCTAGGTGGTACGCGACGAACGGCATGTGCTGGCTGCGTGACCCCACCCCAACGATCCAGCTCCACTGGCTTGTAGCGACACAGTCCGTCTGGATGCTCCTCATGTCCAGCATCGAAGTCCTCTCCTTCCTCACAATCCTGATCTTCATGGCGCGGCACCACGTGCGTTCCCTTACCAAGTTGATTATTTCTAGACCGACGCTCAACTGAAACAGAGGCGCATCCTACGGCTGCGCGCAGACACCACATGCCAGAGCACCTCCGGCCCGGACGCCGGCATCGCGACCCTGGCCTCCAGCCGCCCCCAACCACCTATCGTGCGCTACCGCCGCATGATCCTCCGCATCGGTAAGTACTCACACCAAACCACCGTGCACCAACTGAGGGTCGAGTGTGCTTGAACCAGGCTTGTACCCACTCTTCTCGTGCTTCCTAAGCATCACCGCATGCGTCCTCGACGTGTACGGCGTCAAGAACGTCGTCCTCACCGATTTCGTGCGTCTTCTTTCTTCCCACCGTTCAATCATCTGCGCGTTGCTAACCCACGCCACACATAGAACCTGAACCTGCGAATATTAGGTCTGCATAAATCTCCACACATAGAGAGTCAGCGAACTAACGGCCCTCCAGACATGTTCGTCTACTCCCTGCGCCCAATCCTCTACGCTCTCCTCGGCGCAACCGACCCCGTAAGCCCTCCTCCCCGCGGCATGTGCTAATTAATACTTACACCCCCCCTAGTCGTTCCTTTATGCACTCCGCGCCTTGCGCCCGCGCCCAGATTTATCCATATGGAACGCCGCAGAGGCTGAGTCGCGAGGGTCGGGGCCCAAAAATTGGTGCACGGTGAGCGAGGGGCGATCTGTGGCGCCGGGAGACTTGGAGCTCGAGGATGCGGAGGCGGAAGGGAATATTGGGCATCAGATTTAGTGGTCAACTTTTCCCGAGGGCCCAACAAGGTAGTTAGTAAGGTCATCCTAATTGTGAACCTTCACGATTGTGTGGGAGAGAGCTATTTACGTTCAATTGGTGCGCATTCATAGTTCCTTCAAACTCAAGGTACTTATGTAGTATATTGTGCTTTGAGGCCGGGATTACTGTAACTTCCCGAAAAATGTAATATATAGAGCAGTCTCACTCCTGTTTTTCATCGCTCTGAACTGGGCTTAAGGTCATGAGGAACGAGGAATCAATCATCCAAGCTGTGACTATTGCAGATCACCTGGACTATAGCCCACGCGGCGGATTCCGCCAGTGATGGTGGATGTGATGGTGGACTTTCCTCCAGCAACTTATTTAAAAATAGATTATTCCCCTCCACCTTCACTCCCTTCCAATACTTCCTTACTCTGTACATTACTATCTAGGCCCAATCTGTCCAATTCCTAGAGCATCAAATTCTTCTTTCATTTCCCTGCAAGCAAAGTAATCCAGTGAAATCCATCATGCAAAATCCCTCCATGATAACTGTTCATGTCCCTTCACAGATGTCCCTCCAGGACAATCATCAATATGCCCTCCACTGCAATCTCTCCAGGAGTCTCTAAGAAACTTTCTGGACAAAGATCCCTCCAGCAAATCGGGCTCAACACAATTCTTTCAGCATCTACTAAGACACTTACCTGACCTTTTCAGCCATCTCTGCACTTGACCTTCATTCATGCCCATATTAGCAGTCAATGTTCTCAAGTGTCTTCTCCACAATGAACTTGCATCCACCCTACCATTTCAGCAAGTACACTGATTTCTGGACTTTACAAAGAGAATCTGGCCAGAAATTGTTTACAAGCATGGGACTGTCCCTCTCCAGCTCCCTCCCCAAATTGAAGCTGGTGCTAAGAGGAGATCCATGGATTGAGATGCGTGGAGGATATTCTTTGACAGAAAGTGGTGGAAAGAAAGTATTGGACAGCTTTCACTGCAGAGATAACATGATAACACAGTAGACATTTCACTGGAGGAACTCACAATGTAAGCTATTGGACAAATCTCACTGCACAAATATTGCTACAGCAAAAGACATGGAGTAGTCACATATAATGTTGTGGAGGAATCTCCCAGCAGGGTACTAGTCCGTGGAGAGATATTCTTGCAGGTAGTCCGCCATCAATTCCGCCAGTGATGGCAGACTGTCCGCCAAATAGTCTACATCACAGATGCTCTCCACTATTGACAGCGAGACTCCGGATGTAAAAAATCATATGGAGTAGGAGCTTCGATGTGGCATTGTGATTGAAGTCCTCATTTTATGGACCACTGGCGGAATTAAGTACGACGGCTAAGAAGTTTAGATTAAAGGGTAAAATCATCAGTCCACAGATGTGGGAGGAAAAAGTGACCCGACCCGGGCTCGAACCGAGGACCGCCTGCGACCGCATTACATAATGTGAAGCAGATGTGATAACCAACTACACCATCGGGCCGATGCGAGCTGTATTCGGTGTACTGTGTGCTAGGACGCACCTGCACTAGGTCAAACATCCAAAGACTGGTCAATATAAGATTGAAGGAACGGCAGAGAGCGGTGGGATGAATTAGAGAGTACCAGTCAAACAGACTGAAGGTCGTATAACTCCTTTCGGATTCGGATTCGGAATCCCGCAAGAGACGCGATAACCAACTACACTATCGGGCGGAACTTTCACCTTGTGACAAATAGGGGTTATGGGCTCTCGGCATCCCAATCCTGCGTGGCACTGCCTAGGGTCTTAGTTGACTATGGTAGCCCCGGCTCTTTAGACTGGATAATTTAACTTCAGCTCTGGATTGCACTTGAACCTCGCGGAGTTACTACAGGGAATAGAGTTCCAACTTATTACCGGAAATTGGTCCCACGATAACCAACTGAACCTCCAAGGTTCTTGGGAAAATACAAAAGTTGTGGTAACGATCTTGAGCTATTAGCAAATACTACTTATTGAAGTTATTCGGGTGGCAGTGAGGCGGACTCGGAATTGATCACATATTATATTATTTGCTAGTCTAATGTTTACCGCAGGCTTGTGTATGTAGTGCGCTGTTATTACATAATCTTAGGTAACCATTTTCCGAGTCGCGTCCCATTGCACGGGAAACGTAATGTTCAGTGAGACTTGAAGATTTATGAGGATTTATTATCTATGACTACCCTTCTGTCAATTCAGAATGTTAAAAAAAGCCCTTGAACCTATGGTGTAAAGGTCGCAACTTTTGTATGCAATTGCTTCGCCCAGAAACAACAAATGGTTAGAGTTGACCTTAAAATGGACTAGAAAAAAATCAGAAATCACCCAGAGCCTCGATGCAGCCTTGAAACACGAATTCGAGGTACGGAAGGCTGCGGAGCAAAAAATACTTAAAAACAAAAACGACTGTTTGGCCCGGGTTCGAACCACGGCCTACCAAAACTTATGTAAGATTCCCGCTACCTTTAGGTACGGGTTCTTATAGGGCGCCCCATCAAAGTGCATTTTGGCGGACGATCACATTTTTGTCAGCCTTTTTGCGTAAGCACCTATTCTCTCTGCCAAAATTCTCCGGCTTGTTACCAGCCGAGCTGTATGCCGATAATTGCCGTCGAGGCACTCGTAAACATGCTGAGTCATCTCTTTGAAAACGAGAACTCAGCAACCGCTTCAAAGAAAAATCTCATGCACCTAAATTACGCGAGGATGTTGAACAATCAGAAATCAAGCTAGAGAGTTGAACGGTCAAGTGTAATTTCCCGTGGCCCAATGTGAGCTGGTCGCCGTCGCGGGACGCCCGCGACGGCGACCGAGCGAGCGTTGGGCCACCATTATTTAATATTGATATATAGCATGGCCTTGAACTCTGTGCACAAAGAATTTTGGTGAAATTTGCAAAGATTTGAAGTATACATCTGCACAAAACTCAAACCAGCTTGAAAGGCCCCAACAATTAATTGGTAGCGGGCTGTGCCGCTTGTCGGCCTTACCCGCTTTATCACGTAATAAGAGAGCACTTCATACACGAACCCCGCGGTAACTAACAGACTCTATACAGCGAGGTACGAGCGTTCGTATAGAGCGTCTGTCTACGAGAGACTAATTATTTGCTGTGTTCGAGTGATTGATCCGGCATGGCCAACCACTCGTATCATACGACTGAAACTTGACTGAAACGCCACTGAAGCCCGGAGTAGTCTTGACTCGTTTAAAGTATGACCTCGCACTCGGGAATGTCTGTTACCCTCATAGTTTACCCCCCGCCGCGTTGTCTCGCTGCAGTCGCGTCCGACGGGCCGGCGCCACGTTAATCGCTGCGCTCAGACACAGCTGTGTGGGCGCTACGCTGATCGCTGCGCTCAGAAATGGCTATGTCGGCGCCACGTTGATCGCTGCGCTCAAAAATGGTTGAGAGATCACCACGTTAATCGCTGCGCTCAGACACAGCTGTGTGGGCGCCACGCCGATCGCTACGCTCAGAAAGGGCTGTGTCGGCGCCACGTTGATCGCTGCGCTCGGATACAGATGCCGCGCCCTTCGCCACGCTGGTCACGGGGCCCGGCGAGAAATAGTCGAGAGGCCGCCACTCGTATTGTTGGATCCATGGATACGCCTCTGGGGGCGGCCTGCCGTCCTGGCAACACCACGAATCGCATCCACACCTTATAACAGAGGAATCTGCAAGTTGAACAGTATGGCTTCTTCGAACCCAAATAATCAAAGTCAACCCCACCCCGTGCCGGTTCTAGCAATGCGGCGGTGCACAATCCTAGCATGCGCAAACTGCCGGAAGCGAAAGATGACGGTGTGTATATGTCGTGGTTCTCAAGTAATTAGCTTTTACTTATATTTAATTCAGTGCATCACAACAGAGCAGCCGCCGAAGACTCCCTGCGCGCGCTGCGTGAAGAAACATCTGCCTTGTGAGTATGTCGCGGCTGCTGAACCAGAGTATTCCTCGAATTCTGCCCCTGCGACTGCCGAGTTTCCTGTCTCGGATCTACCTTACGGCAGGACACCTTCAGGCCCCGCGCCGACGAGATGGAACCCGCCTACGGCACCTCCCACCTTTCATGGAGGCCACGGCGCGGCGCCCCCCCCCTCCCTTACACCGGCCCCCCGCCGGTGAGCATGACAGCCACAGGTTAGAGGTACTCTCCCCCTTCGCATTCCGGAACCGCGCCCAGATGCAACCCGGGATCAGCGGACCCAAACGGCCCGCCACAATTCAACCAACAGTACTACGCGGTTGCCCAACCCAACGCGGGACATGATCCACGCCAATATTCAAACCGCGGGTCTACCCCACAGCCTCCCTTCATGCAGCCGCAGCAGCAGGCGGGAGACTATCCAGGCTTTGACTACAACCAGTGGGTGAACGATTACGACGGGTCGAGCTCGAGGTAAGCATTCGAAGTTCACCCGTGATTTTCCTATTTACTCATGCGGGTTTGGACAGCGGCAACCAGTACCGCTCAAACGATCCCCGCTACAATTAATTAAGAGCTGATCCTATTTATCGACGGGTGTCCGTAATTAACTTCTCTCCCTGGCTCCAACTTCACCCATTTCGCATCGTACATAGACAGAGTTTTTCAACCCATGTTCCATAATCCTAACCATAATATCTCCCCTTTCCTATGAAATTCAAAATTGCTCCTCTTCACAATGGATCACGATGCACCCAAATTAACGTATCCCTTGCGATAAAAAATTCCAACTCAAGCCCCTCTAATTTCCCACTCAGAATGCAGCGGTGGAACCACAACGCTTACTTCGAGGGGGTGAAAGGGAGGTTGTCGAGCTGGGCGGCGAAGGCAGCGGCCTGCTGGACGTTGGCGTCCTGGAGGTTTCCCTGTGCGACGCCTGCGATGCAGTCCGAGAAGCCGAGGAGGGTCGCGACGTCGCAGTTGGGCGAGGTGTTGCCGTGGCCGCACCCGCCGGAGCCGTTGCTCTGCGCGACGTCGGGCCCCGCGCACTTGCCGCTCGAGAAGCCGCAGCAACCCTGCTGGCACTCAGAGTCGGCGGCGCACTGCTCGGTGACGGTCTTTTTGCTCGTCTGGAGCGCCGCGAGCTCCGGGATGGATTTGGGGGGCGTGACACCGCTGGGGGGCGTCATAGGCGGCGTCGTAGGCGGCGCGGTGGGGGGCGCGGAATTGTTATCAGTAGTAGACGTGCCATTAGCGGCAGACACGCTGGTGCTGCGCACGAGCTGACTGAGCGCGTCCGGCTGGCTATCAACAAAAAAGATCGCAGGACCAGCGACTGTCGGAATGGTGGCACGAGCAACGACATCGTTCGGGATGGGGTTGGCGTCGCTTGTGATCCAGAGGGCTACGGGGCCGTTGGTTCCCGCTGGCACGTTGCACTGCGCAAGGGGCAGGTTGACGGACGCGTTGGCGCCACCCACGATCATGTTGCAGAAGAGGTTCTGCGAAGAAAGAAGATCAGCAAATACATGGAGGTGCGGGAACGACGGGGCGTACGGCAGTGCCGCTGACGCCGGTTGCTGCAACGGTCAGGAGGTCTCCGGGGGAAATTGCGCCCGTGTTGGTAACGGTGAGGGTGTTGGTGGCTATGACGCGGTCAGGTGTGTTCGAATAACATAAATTTAAACAGCAGAGGGGTCTCACCATTGAGACCAAGGTCACACGGACCAGTTATGAATCCACCCGCAATCGAGAGAACCTCTTGAGGAGTGAGACCGATATCGAAGGGGGAAGGGATCGCTGATCCAGTTCCCGACAAAATATTGAGTAGGGACTGGTGGCGCGCCTCAACGGTGAGGATGGATGCTGCCGCATCAAGGAAGGTTGGAACGTCGAGCAGGTGAGCTGCTCCGGAGTATGCAGCGACCCCGACGTACTCGACGACACGGGCCGTAGCAGCCATGGTCGCAACATCGGTCAGCCCACTGTCGAAGTTGAATGTGCATGTCAAGGGGGTTACGCCATTGGCGGTCAGGGCTTGCTGGATGAAGGTATCGTGCGCGGCTTCGTCAGCCTGGATGGTGGTCAGGATTTGGGTCGGAATAATGGCGGACGAGAAGCCGGCGGCCTGGAAGTCCGCTGCTTGGAATTTCGCAATTCCCTGCTGGTAAAAGTTGGCCTCGAGCTGCTCCAGGACGTTGGCGAATTCTGTGGGGATGAGGTCAGCCGCCCTACGCAAAGTTTCTGGAGACTCACGGAAAACGAGGGCAACATTGGCAGATGCTGCTGCACGATTCTGAATGGGACGGGCAGATGCCAGAAGGGGCGCGGCGGCCAGAGCAGCGAAGACGGATGAGGAATAACGCATTTTAAGAAAGGGCTACTGTGAAAGGGTCTTTAAAGAACGTGTCAAAGATATCGCAAGCGACGAGGGCGGGGGGTGCAACCGGGCAGCCAAGAAAAACTATCGGGTCGGGGTCGGTGATCATAGCACTAGCACAACGGCGGGACTCACAAAAGGGGGGAAGAAGAAGGAGAAAGAAAGGGCTT